GGAATTTTTTCTTCGAGTTTTCTTGTTTTGTATCAACTTTTGAGTATACATGTGTGTGTGTCTAATGAGTGTTTATTTTAAACGGAGTTTTACAACTGTGAACTGATCAGGTCAAAAGTTGAAAAACATTCTCACTATTTCTGTTTATTTCTGCACTATTAAATCATTTATTTGAGTTACCTGTTTTATTTCCTCGAGTTTCTATGCGTTCATAACTCCTTGATTGTGTTTGTCTCGTTAAATAAACAGAAACAAGTACTTGTTCAAGTTGTTGTCAGTTGGCTACCGGCGTCTTCAATTTGCATCATTCATCTGAATCATTCAAGCGTTTTAAAAACCGACCTCCGGTCCCGGATATCGTCACGAAGAATAGTTATCCATGTCACATGTGCAAATAGTACATGCTGGTTTCCTCATTCAATAGTCTATTATAGACCAATATCCAGTGTTTCTTAGCATAATCAGCATCCCGACTTTACTGACTCAATTCATTTTTAAAATGATATTTACGGCTTAAAGTCCTGACTAAGTAAGACATATAAATGAACAAATAACAAATTCGTTTGTTTACAAGCATCATTTACATAGGAGCACCCCTTTAGTAGAGCATAAAGTTTAACCCTTAAAACTATTTGATATATTTTAATATAATATAAACTATATTGTTAGATAGAATTTCAATGAAGTTATTTCATTTAGTTGAAGAATATATATGTTTAATCCAATTAACAGCCTGTCTAATTGGCAATCATACCCTCACATTTATTACAGCTAAATAATATTAGAGACATTATTTAAATTAGTATATATGCCTCTGGTAATAATTTAATGTCAATCAATAATTTTCGATAACATACATAGCACATTAATGCATTTGCCTGGGACACTATATAGGACTTAAAATATGTTTATTATCTATAAATTTTAAAAGATAATTAAAAATATTTGAAAATTATACAGCATTTTAGGTGTAAAATTCCTGGTTTTTCATGTTTCAAGACTGTAGTTTTTTTTTTAATAAATAATATCAGATCTATCAAAGTTGTAAATTTAACCAACCATTCGCTATAAATTAACAAATTATTTCAGACAATCCTTAATTTTCTCCTTAAAATATACTTATTAATAAGCCAAATAAAAATATACATTGGCGGATTTAGAACTTTTCATAGGGTGGGAGCACTAACTGACCTAAAACATGGGGGGGGGGGGGGGCTCCAGTCATGCTTCAGTGATTCCCTATATAATCAACCAAAATTTTTCCCACAAAAGGGGGGGGGGCAGATGATATATAAGTCAGAATGTTACTCCCAGAGACTCATTGAATGTAAAAAAAAAACACAACATAAAATTTAAATAAATCCCTACCTAGTTACTACTGAAATTATAAAATTAATATTTAGTTTAAAATTTTTCCCATTGATTGACAAACCCTGACAACTCATTAACTCAAAAGGAAAAATTGAGAAATCTTGATCATTATAAAAAGGTTTATAAAATATTTTGAAGTGTACCAACACATAAATTGCAATCCAGTTGATACACATACAATCCCTGAAAGAAGATATTTTCTTTTTTCTTTCTTTTTTTTAGATGAGGGAGTAGTTAGAATTTACCGCTTTTGTATAATCATATTAAATCAAACATTTTTCATATTTCTGATAGCAAAGCAGTTTTAAAAATATACTGCACTTCCAATATGTATACTTTGACATGTTTGATAAACATTCAATTTAACATTTATTGACAACATTTGGCCCAATAAAATTCTTTTCAGCACACTTACTTATTTTTATTCATATGTCCTATTGTTAATCTTATGTGTGGTTCAAAGCTCAAAATTGCACTTGACTTATAAGTTTGAGGAAAAGTTTAATACACTGCAAAAAAGGGAGATAACTCAGGTTTTGAAGTGATATTCATTATCAATTTTTTTTCTTTGCAATTATGGAAAGTAAAGGATCTTAATTACAGTAACAGGAATCTATTTCATAAGCTGGAGTTACCTCCCATATTTTATAAGAGTACAAAAATAAAGGAAACTTTAAATGTGTGAAAGAAATTAAGTTTACTGATAAATGAAAATAGAAATATTACTGATAAATCAATATTAGCCCATCAATATATTCTAAGTATCTTAGGAATTTGAAATCAAAGATACAAATTCTACCATTATTGCTCTACTAGAGATAAATATAAACAGTGATAGAAAATACAACTCAAAACCAACACTGATCTTTTTGTAGTTGCATCTAATCCACTTTCAAGGGAGATAATTCATGTGAAATAAAAAGATAAATATTAATCATTTGATGGTTATATGTCCCCCTTTTATGTAAATTATATTAAAGTGCTAGTAAAAAATGTTCTCCTGATTATGTTTTTAAAATGTTTATTGTGAAATTTTGTTAGAATTTGTTAATTTTTGTATTTCAAACAAATAAAATATCTATATTCTTATTCTAATTCTTCTTCAATAATTATTTTTACATTTTGGCGATTATGTCAAAATGGCAATAATTAGTGCACACACTTAATTATTTTAAACAGTGATTTTATCTTGTGCAAAACCAACCACGTAAGCACATTATATAAAAAATTAGCCTTGGTCAGATCAAATGAATTTCACGTGAATTTCACGTTAGTCAGATCATGTGAAATTCACCTGAGTCAAATCATGTGAAATTCACGTGAGTCAAATCATGTGAATTTCATGTGAGTGAGATCACGTGAATTTCACGTGGAAAAAAGTTTATGTGAAATTCACATGAATTTCACATGAGTTTCACGTTAACAAGTTCACGTTAAATTCACGTAAGTCAGATCATGTGAGTTTCACATGAAAAATTCACGTGATATTCACGTGAGCAAAAATTCACGTGAAATTCATGTGAAACTCACGTGAATTTTACGTGAAATGAGACTCACGTGAAATTCACGTGAACAAAATTTGCCTGTGTAATAGGGAAAATCAATGGTGGTATTACACCTAATATGGGAAGCTGAACATGCACCTTTGACCTTGTGAGTACTCTCATGTGTTAAAATTTCTTGCTATTTAAAAAAGTGAAATATTACAAATAATGAAATATTCTGAGTGGATTGAGTCTCCAAAACACATTTTATGAGAAAATTTCCTTGAAATAGGACTTTACCATGAATATTAGTTGACAGAACAAGCCATACTTAGAGTTTTGGGGAGCTTTTTCTCCTTATTTCTTATATTCTGCTATACTAGAAAAATTTTCCTAAGAAATACTTTAATAAATAAATAGTTTTAAGTAAATGAAATGATTTTTAAAGCAGTAACAACAAATTATTCACCAAAAGGGAAGCTTTTTATGTCCCTCTCTGGAATGCGGCGTAAATTTAAGTTTTACGTAAGGACTTATTGAAACCTCCTTGGAGACAGTAAACTTTTATACGGATAGTTCATTCAGCTTGAATACTTCAATTAATCATTTATTATAACATTTCTATCATAAATGAGTGAAAGTTACCCCAAATTTTTTATTTATTGGCCTAAAAAGTAGAAATTTTGAGGAAATGAGAGGTATAAATGAACCAAAAGAGACCTTATAAGGAAGACAAAGAGGTCCATTAGTAGTATTTATCATCCTAAAGTCATCTTTTGTATCATATTCAACTGTTTGTAGGCAGATGAGATAAATATTTGATCATTTATTGGTCCACACTATATTCTATCATGATGCGGCTTGGTTTGGATTTTTGGAAGAAATTTTGCTCGAATCGCTGTAGATGTCGTCTTACATTATACTAGATTTTTCTCAAACTATTGAACTGATTATGACAAAACTTGACAAGAATGCTTGAAATACCAGTATTACAAAGGAAAAAAGTCACATTCAGTTTATTTAACAAAAAAGTCTTCTTTAGGTGTAATACCACCAAATCATAGTACGTCTACGAAAATAGGTCGAAAAAAATATTCCCTTGAATTTGACAGTTGCAGGTAATTGATCCTACATTTCATTGCAGTAAAACATTTCTGGGTCATAAACATATATCTTGGTTATTTCAAAGCACCATTATTTTTTTATTTGGGGTTTCTATAGAATATTTTGGAAACTTGAGGTTACATGGTTACTAAAGCTTGTACACAGGTTAAAAAAGAGGAAAATTTGATTGGTTAACTTCCAGTGATGGTTACTTTCTTATATGCAATGAAATGTTATGTGAAATTTTTTCTATAGTACTGGACAGGATAAAACTTTACTCATGCCAAGTATTTCTTTATTTGAAACAAAGATAAATTCTGCACATTTTTTTGAAAAGTGCAAATTTAACAAAGACTAATAGGGGAAAATCAATGGTGGTATTACACCTAGAGGTTACCAGAGATTATAAACACGTAAGAGTCAAACAAGACATGGTGAATAGAATTAAAAAGTAAATAACAACCATAATTCCAATACAATAAAATAAAATAAACAAATATAAATATATATTAATAGTCGAATATTTCTAAGGATTTGTGATTCGTTAAAACCTGATCACATGTACATTTGTACTTACTCAGTATGCACGCCAATACTGTTGTGTTTATGTTTTCGTAGGTCAAAAACAGCATATTGCACAGGGCATACAGCATGTTACTAAAAATACATCCTGGAAATCCCGAATTTTACTTTGTTCATGCAATAGTTGTTGATAAATAATATAACACTTGTAGACTTTGGTTGAGGTCAATACGAAGTTATATCGATTTAGAGAAGCATATCGACTCAGACTTCATACTCAGTCAATATGCTTCTCTTGGGTCAATACAATCTCGTATCGACCTCATACAAAGACTATAATTGAATATCTTAACATATAACAATACCAATAGAGATATATATAATGTAATGACGCACACTAACCACTTTTGTCCAGTTGTGATTTGCCTCATTATCTTTTTAATATTACATCAATTATTGGTACGCTTTAAATAATTACACAAGGAGAGATCACATACATACTATATTCTTGATTTCTACTTACTCTAAAATGTTCCTCTTTTTTTTTGGTGATCTGTTAAAAGAAGTTAATATTCTTTCTATTTGGTAAGTTTTTATAATCATATTAAGTACCGGTAAAAGCTGGCAATGAAGCATTTAAGCATAATGTATAAATGTTATACTTAACCAGAACAGTGAATACATTTAAAGAAACATCCCATAACTGTGACCATAGACGAATATTTAATTCTATAGTCCAATTATATAAAAAAAAGTACTGAAATTTCTATCTATAAATGTGTAACTATAGTACATTCCCAGAAAAGATGACTTATTGTTTCCCTAGTTTCGTAATGGAAACGACATAAATTAGTTTCTGTTAACCCACAGTTATACCATAAATCATTTGTAGCAATAATTCTATGTAAAACATTTGGCTTGAACATACTATTATTTGTTATTTTTGAGTACAACAAAAGGGAAACTATAAATGATATCACACTTTTTCATATGAATCTTCAGTTCTTAATATTTTTTTCTTGTTTCGTAGACCTAGACAAGACTTATATTGTAAAAGAATTAACATGGTTTTTATTGGTTTTTTTTAAATACAATTTTTTTTTATTAAATATGAATGTTATTTTCTTAAAAGTAGTAATAAGATCTTTCCAAGCTTTGGGTATCATATGAAGAACATTAATATTGAGGTTGTGTTGTCCTCAGAATTCATGCAACGTAAAACAATTCACTGCTGTCATTAAGGAAATCACCTATAAAGAAACCTCCTGATACCATCATGGGTCATCAACCACATTTTGCCTGCTCCATATTGTTCATACTTATCTATGAGTAGTGTTTTCAATGGAGATATACTCACGGGGTTTAAAGTTTATTTATCCATGTAATCTTCAAAGAAAAAACCAAAGACAACCCCTGCTTTTTTTCATACTAACCTATCATTACTTTTCTTTTTACCTTATCTCTTTTTCCAGAAAATATAAGAAAATATTTTGATTTTTTTTTTATCTTATTCACAGGATTGTTTGACACAATTGTCGATGACTATAATCGTAATCTCCTGTATAAGTTAGATCTCTATAAACCAATGATTAAGGGGACTGATTTAAAAAAGAAATATTAAATATTAACGTGTATTTCATTTTCACTGAACAGATCACATTTTCTCCTTTAAATTTTCCTCTGTAATTCCAATTCAAGTTTCATGTTGTTTTTTAGAGTAATCCTCGAGCGAATCTTTGAATCAATCCATATAGCTTCCTTTTTATCAAAGGTATCCCTTAGCACACTCCGAGAATTGTTCTAAAGAATATAGGTATTTTTCTATAATAAAAAAAATAGGTAGATGAGGTATGATTGCCAATGAGACAACATCACCAAAGTTCAAATAAAATGGATGTAAGCCACTATAGGCAACCGTACGGCCTTCAAAAATGAGACAAATCCACACCGTATAGTTGGCTATAAAAGGCCCCGACACGAAAAATATGAAACAATTCAATTGAGAAAACTTACGGCCTAATTTATAACAAAACAATTAACGAAAAACAAATATGACTTTTATGCTCATTTCTCATCTAATAAAATACATAAGTCATCTGTATACTGACTAAAAATTATTTCGAGTCATGTTTTTTCATACCATTTATCCTTTGTTATTTTTAGTGCAGCACTCATGATCATACGTTATAGAGATAATATAAAGAAATAAAGGTATAAAGGATCTCCTCGTCTGACACCACGACCAATATTAAAACATTGAGATCATTGTCTAGTGTTTATAATACAGCTCTGATATTCTGAATATATAGGATCACATATGTGACAACATCCTGTCTATACTTATATTTTACAGTAGGTCATGATTTGCGACGTATTCACACTAAATATTTTGCAAGGGTATTGATTGTTATTCTAAGAAAAAATACCAGAGGGATATTCAAACTCATAAGTTGAAAAAAAAACTGACAACGCCATGTCAAAAAGAAAAGGACTAAAAGACACACAGCAGTATACAAACTACAACATAGAAAACTTAAGACAGAACAACACGAACCCCATTGAAAACCGGGTCGATCTTTTTTTTTTTCTTTTCTTTTTGATGTATTCCATAAACATTTCTTTATTTCCATTAATTGCTTGTTACATTGTCTTCAACAAGTTCAAGCTCCTTGTGAAGAATAAATATAATTTACAATTCTATTATGTTAATAAATTATAAAACATCAATCTAATAAATGTTTTTTTACATTAACTAAGAATTTAACTTCTTCCAACTTTTTAGTATAACGCATTCGTTTTGTAAATTCTCTAATGAATATATAAAATACATCAAGTCCTTTCATTTTCTGATCAGATAAATAGTAGGATTTATAAATTGAATGTCATAGTTAAAGCCAAAGTAATATCTATCTGATATGTTATAGCCAACACAAGATCTTTTATTGTAATAGCTTGTTCTATTATAATATATATTATTATAAATTATGAATTTTTCTCCAAAAATTGTTTAAAAAGGAACATGATATAAAATAATGATAATAATCGTCTTCAGTAAAGCATTTGTTACTTAAATCATTGTTTGTTACCTTCCATGTAAACAACAACTTTTTTGTAGGTAATATACTTTGTAAAAGTTTCCTTGGATACATCTTCAATTTATTTTCTTCTAAATAGTAAAAAATAAAGCTGTACAATGATTTCAAATGAAATTCTGTTTGTAATGGTAATACATTCAATCATATATTTATAACAATCGGTTTTACAACTTTTGTCTTTTCTAATTTGTTATATAATAACTTATTTGACAAAAACAAAATGTCAATATAATTACCACTTATTGACAAAACATTGTCGTTTTACATTGACTCTACTTCTCGTGGAATTCTCTGATCTGAGACATTGTACCCAATCCTCTGGGATTGCGTTTTTTAAGGATGTTAACTCAGCTATCCAGTTGGTTTTATATTCTATTGTTTGTAAAATTACATCTTGTAAAATTTTCCAATTTTCATCTAAAAAATCTTTTATATAAATCAAATTTCCGTTTATCCAAATTTTTGAAACATAGACTTTTGTTATCAAATTTAATGTATTTATTTTCCCAAATAATTTGTTTTCTTATTTCGTGAAAGGTTTTTGGTTTATCTGTCTGTCGTTCTTCTGCTTTCATCCAGCTTTTTAATATATTTTTATAAAATTTTGGAATATTTGGTAAATATTGATCAACTTTATTATAATCCATATTCATATAAACTACTAGGCAATTTTGTCCTAAGCCTTTTAAATATTTTAAAGGTATAAGTTGCCATCTGGCAATATCTGTATTTAAGATTCTACTTATCCATGATACTTTTAGTGATTCAAACGTTATCTGGTTTGTCATTCCAGATTAATTTAAAACATTTTCTTTCTATTTCTTTTTCATATTTTTCTGGAAATACAAATGATCTACCTAAAAAGGTGAAGAGTGGTATAATCAAAGAATTGAAGATCAAAGTTTTTCATAACATAGTGAGATTTTGATTTGTCCAAAGAAATAACAATTTGTCAATTTTCTCTATTCTATTTTCAAAATTTAATTTCTCACATTTTTCTTTATCATGTCCAAAATAAATTCCTAAAGCTTTTACAGGTGTATCTGTCCATTTAATATTTGCTATCTTGTCTTTACTGTTTTTGAATTTTCCTATCCATATCCCTTCAGTTTTATTTTTATTTATAATTAATCCCGAATAAGATCCAAAGATTTCAATTGTAATCAATGCTAGTTCGATATCATTTTTGTCATTAAAAAATAAAGTTGTATCATCAGCTAATTGGCTTATTTTAATACAATGTGTTTTCCTATCAAATTGTATCTGAAATCCTTTTATATCTTTGTTATTTCGATGTCTCAGTGCCAATAATTCAACGGATATGGCAAAAAGTAGAGCAGATAAAGGCCACCCTTGCCTAATCCCTCTTGAATTTTTAGACATTTCTGAAATCCACCCATTATTAATAATACATGTTTGAACATCATTATACAAAGATTTAACCCTATGTATGAATGATTCATTGAATCAAAAGTGATATAAAGTATCTAACATAAATTTCCATTCAAGAGTGTCAAAGGATTTTTGAAAATCGACAAAAACAATAGCCCCTTCTATATTATATATGTCTGCATAATCTATAATATCTTGTATTTGCTTTAAATTGAATCCAATGAATCTATTTTTCATATATCCAGATTGATATGTGTTTATGAGTTTTGGTAGACTTATTTTCAGCCGTTGAGCTAGTACATGGGACAGAATTTTTAGATCTACGTTTAATAAGGAAATTGGTCTATAATTTTCTAGTTTTAATGGATCCCCCTTTTTGAATATCAACGACAAATCACTAGACCGTAGCGAGTAGGTAAAAAAAACTTTCTCCATGACCCTCATTATATATTTTAACAAGAATATATTTAAGCCTCTCCCAAAACATTTTGTAAAATTCTGCGGTTAGACCGTCAAGCCCAGGAGACTTATTCAATTTCATATTTTGTATTGCTTCAGAACATTCTTCAAGCGTAACTGAACCATCTTCTTATCTTGACGATCAAATAGCCCTTTCCAACTAATATTTACACTTTGTTTTTATATTGTGCTGATATCATCTGTCCAGTGTTAAGGGTGTATTGAATGCATACAAACATTTTAACAGGAAAATATTCCATTATTCAAAGTTGAAAAATGTTGAAATGTTGATATTAGCTATATTCTTTAATAAATGAAGTTATTTGTACTTACGTAACCTTCTTAAATTTTGGTATTTCTAATTTACGGAATGAAATAACCGATTCGTCTGGTTCTTCATAGTACACAGGTATCTCAACTCTCTTAGGTGCTGGTTGTGGACTGATTTGTTCTTTCTTTCCACCACACAAGGAGGAACATTTATCTGAAATTATTTATTGATGACGTGGCTATTCTTTAAATGTCTTAAATCTGATCAAAACATTACTGGAAACGATTGAAAGGGTCTTGAAATATTATATAGATAAGTATTGTCCACTTTTGACGAATTGTGACATTGATTTGTGTTGAGTCGTTTTGTGTTGTTGGGTTGCTTCTCATTTACGTGACACTCGCATCTTATGTTTATACATATATGTTACAAAGAGAAATTTGAGAAAGAACATAATATAAAAGTTTTAAGATTTAAAAATGATTGCCCCATATGCAATTAATTTTGAGAAAAGTAATTATCTATGATATCAGGTTAAATATCTCTGAATCGTCAAACTTGGTCTTCTGTTTCATGGAGTTATTAACTAATTGATCCTTAACGCACAGGGACGATTGTAACATACAATGTCAGGACGATAACATTAAGATATATAGGAATAATGAGATAGATTTTTGCCGGGGTAGCTCCAAATATTACATCGATATGCATAGCGAGTACACTAAAATGTCACGTCACAATCAAGTTGGATTCAGGCTTTCGTTTCAAGCAAGTGTGATTGACAATAAAGAAACACGTACCTTGACAACAACAGCATACAATGACTCCGATAATCAACAGTACAACAAAGACACAGGCTAAGATGATTGCAGCTATTTCACCAGCAGTTAGTGGATCTGGATCTGGTATAGGGTCAGGATCTACGAAGGTGATAATGCATAATAAACTTTTAATAATTGCTTTGATGGTATCCAATCTTGAAAATTGATGTCCACAAAAATAAATAAATCTACATATATATATATATATATATCACTGAAGAGACGTTAATTGTCGAAATCCGGATATGGCGTACAAATTTTTGCACCTCGTGTTTGCGCAATACCATCTTTTCCGCAAGTTTATTGTTTTCTGTTTGGTAATGAATTAATAAAAAGATCTATTTTGAAACATCTTGTGATCCGTTTATTTGGCAATCGCCAATGGCAATCAGCAGGGTTTAAGAACATCAATTGTTCGACCTGCTAGTCAAATGCGTTTTGTTAAAATATACTTTTTCACTCATTTGGTCTTTTGGAAAATGTTGTTTGTGCTGTATTTAGACCCCTCTACCAAGAAATTTGTTTTGCATGCACACGTATAAAAAATGCGGTTTTTATCCAACGCAATCATAGGTTTGAACGTTGTTTTCAATTTAGACTTGTATATATATATATATATATATAAAGTCTAAATTGAAAACAACGTTCAAACCTATGATTTCGTTGGATAAAAACCGCAATTTTTATACGTGTGCATGCAAAACAAATTTCTTGGTAGAGGGGTCTAAATACAGCACAAACAACAATTTCCAAAAGACCAAAAAAAAGTGAAAAAGTCTATTTTAACAAAACGCATTTGACTAACAGGTCGAACAACTGATGTTCTTAAACCCTGCTGACTGCCATTGGCGATTGCCAAATAAATTGATCACCAGATCTAACAAAATGGATCTTAATATTAATTAAATACCAAACAGAAAACAATAAACTTGTGGAAAAGATGGTATACCACAAACATGAGGTGCAAAAATTTGTACACCATATCCGGATTTCGACAATAAATGTCTCTTCAGTGATGTTAGGGATCGAAACGGTATTTGGAAGGCCATATGATTTACCTCAATTTAGGATAGACTCTTGAATTTTAAAGAGTCGAAATAGGATGAACGGATCATATAAACCCGAAGGAAAATATAATACAAGCCCAAACGAAAAAATATAAAAAGTCTAAATTGAAAACAACGTTCAAACCTATGATTGCGTTGGATAAAAACCGCAATTTTTATACGTGTGCATGCAAATATATATATATAGTGATAGTGATTAAGATTATAACAGAATGTTGACTGCTGTACCCCAATTTTTGACATTTTTACCTATTGTGTCTATTTGTTTTGTTCACACATCGTTGTCAATATATTGGAATTTTAAGTGAGAAAATTAGCTAGCTATAAAACCAGGTTTAATCCACCATTTCTACATAAGAAAATGCCAGTACCAAGTCAGGAATATGACAGTTGTTATCCATTCGTTTGATGTGTTTGGGCATTTGATTTTGCCATCTGATTAGGGACTTTCCTTTTTGATTTTTCCTCGGAGTTCAGTATTTTTGTGATTTTACTTTCTACTTTATATTGACATGATTATTCAAACGTCACCCATGAATACTAAAATTGATGTACAATCCAAGATACACAAGAGAGAATTATATTTGTGTTTCTCAATATAGGATAAATGCGTTTATATTGTTTTTATTGGTACTAACATTGATTTTGTTTCTGAAAAATTATAACATAACTAAATACATATTGCTGTATATAAAAAGAAGATGTGGTATGATTGTCAATGAGACAACTCTCCACAAAAGACCAAATGACACAGAAATTAACAACTATAGGTCACCATACGACCTTCAACAATGAGCAAAGCCCATACCGCATAGTCAGCTATAAAAAGCCCCAAAATGAAAATTGTAAAACAATTCATACGAGAAAATTAACGGCTTATTTATGTACAAAACAATGACCGAAAAACAAATATGCTACACAGCAACAAACGATGCTCGTATTTCGATGATGTGTGTCTATTGTTTTTATATCTTTTGTGTTCGTTCCTCGTACCGATCTTTGTGTTTAGCCAATTGCAACTGATTATTACTGTTTGTTCATATGCTGTGCTGAAACACTTCTATCACAGATTAGGGGATGGTTGAATACTCACAGATACTTTTAACCCCCTCCTCACATTCTTTATGTGCCTGTCCCAAGCCAGGAGCCTGTAGTTCAGTTGTTGTCATTGGTTTATGACTGTCATATTTTTTTTTTTGTAGATTGTTTTGTTATAAATTAGGCCGTAGGTTTTTTCTTTGATTTGTTTCGCCTTTTCCCCATGTCTTCTATGTCCACATCTTATATAGCCGACTATACGGTAGGGGTTTTTCTCATTTTCGAAGGCCGTACGGTTGCCTTCAGATATCATACTATGAAATAGCATTATGATAATTATTCCAGAAGAGCCAAACTATGAAATGACTTAATTCAAAAGTACAAGATATAAGCAGGAAACATAAGAATAAAGAGCACGCCTTGAGCGCATGATACGCCCGTCCCCTTTTGATCTCGTCTTTATGCTTTAAATGAATTTATATGATCAACTAAAATTACTGTCAGCACTACTCAAATAGACCCCCCCCCCCCCTTTCCCCCTTAAAATATAAAACAAAAGACATGCAGTGGAACCCATTGACACAAAACATGATTAATTTGGCACTATTAACGCTACCTCAAGTTTAACTAAGTTTGTGGCCTCGATTTGTGAAGGAATAAAGTTCTATAACCGTCCAAAGTGTTGAAAATGGACAGTTTTCGACGATTTTTTAACAAATAAAGTTCTAAAACTGCGCAATGTCATATCAGAAATTTATAAAAAAAAAAAAAAAAAAAGGAGTTTAATTCCACAGATATATACCAGTCACCTTAGTTTCATGAAGTTTTTTTTAATTACTGTGTTGACGACGGACGGACGGATAGACGAACAACGGTATACCATAATACGTCCCGTAAACGTCCCATAATGGCGTTTAAAAAATAACTATCTTTGGAATGCTACAGGTCCAGGCACTACAAAGATTGATATGCATAGAAAACCTATATCCCGGAAATAAAAAAAAGAGTATGAATTGAGTTAATAGTACCTCAGCGGTGAAAATATACTTACCCTTTAATTGCGCTTGTCCTGTCGGAAGTTCACACTTTCGACATGTATGTTAATTTTCCGACAACATATTATACAATTTTTGTGACATCACCGAATAAGGCTGAATGCCGGAATTTTTACTTAAAAGAGAAACACGACGAGTACAACACCTGTCAAGCAAGATCTCCTTTGCGGATATCCTGAGATCACTGCTGATTTTTATGGGATGTACGTTGCTCAGTTTTTTGTTTCCGTTGTTTATCTTGTGATCGGTTTGCTTTTGATCATTTGATTCTGTATTTAAAAGTTAATTAGTAGCATTAAGTGTTTGAAAATTATACACATTTCTACTTTATAACACATAACCAAGAACAGTTTGATTTATCGGATATATTGGTGAAGAAAAGAGATTAACGACCAATATCTGCTTTTGAATTAATCCCATCGTAAAGACTTAACTTGTGGATCTTTGAACGAATAACTTTTAAAAAATATTTTTGTGTGTGTGTAATACTTACAGAAATTAGTCTGCCTGCAACATTTGAAAATATTTAGTCCTCGAATTATTTAGATTGATTTGTTTGTGTATTTTCAACTTTCGAATATTTCCACTGACAACAAACCAGATAATAGCTTTATTTTGACAACAGTCCTAAAAGTACATTAAATGATGTTTTTTTTTCATATTTATACAACTTTCACGTTAGGATCATAATGCTGCCATGTGGATAAATTTATCGGTTTTCAAGAGCTACATTTACAGCGCGTCATCCCAACAATTTCACAATTAAAAAGAGGGCGTAATGGGGAGACACTTTTGACGAAGTAAAATCCTGACTGAATAGAGGAATTGAATGTTTTCATGTATCTTAATATTTTTCATACTTTTACTCCAAACATGTTGGTGACGGTGATTCTAAAAAGATCATTGTACATTATTATTTCGGTGTGAACCGCTCAATTAAAAAATAAATAAAGGGTGTTATTTCACTATTTTTCCCCTATTCATTTGTGTATATTTAACCTTAGTCGTCTTACAATTTGGCGCCTGTAAAATGTTTATACCAATAATTGTCATAATATAACAACTTCATTCTTAATACTATTATTACATTTCTTTACAGGAGACCCGACAGGTAAGCAGTAAATGATTTCTTCTTGTCTCACTTAGCCATTAACAACCTTTATGGTTTTAATTCGGGCCACACTAGAATCATAGTTGAGCTGCTTCGGATAGAAATCGATCGTAACTTAATGAATATCAATACATCTGTTATCCTATTTCGAATTGAAAAAATCACTTTGCAAAGCCTGTAACTGTTTTTAGATTGATTTTTTATTAGAACCCTACAAAACGGACTAAAGTTTATCTATTACTTCGTATTTGAATGTTCCAAAATTAATCAGAGTGTTATACATGTACATGTTGCAGACCAATTGGTGACCTTGGGCTGTTTTCTGCTCTTTTGTCGGGTTGTTGTCTCTTTCACACATTCCCCATTGCCATTCTCAATTTTACATGTATATGTGCACATACATACTTCTATACGATGCAGTTCATATGTTAAAATGTGTTGTACAGATCCGTTAGTAGTGGTTTGCATGGGGATATATTAAAGGGGTCTAAAAATTGATTTATCAATGTCATCGTCAATTAGAAAAAAACAAAAAACTCTACAGATCCGTTATTTAAGTCGGTCGTCAATGATTTTAGTAACAAAATTTAAGGGGACGCAAGTGAACGGTATGTCCGACTTTTCATTTATTCAATACATTTCGTGAATAAAATGATTAAAATGCCTAAATTTTCATTCGAAAAAGATTGAAAAAAAAAAAATACAAGTAATAAATAACTTAAAGTATCAAAATTTGTAGTATCATGAAGCTTTTATTGTTTGATATTCAAACACATATACTCTGTTGGTATGAATCATTAGAAAGGTATTTCACTTTACCCAACTACTTCATTTTTGGAACTATGAATGTGTAGTGTAATTATATCAACATGTAGCCAAAATGATGATGTATCAAACTTTGTTTTTATTTATACATCATCAAGAAAAAACAAACATATCAAACACACCTGCACGTACAAAAGTGTAGCCGACTTTCTATTTTCGATTAGATACTTTCCATTTTTTAACATGTCCCCAAACAAAATGTTACAACGGCAGAGATGCAAATAAATGCTTTTTAAAGATCGAATCTGTTATCTTTTTTTTGAATTTTTTTCGGTAGAATGTATGGTTATGCATAATAATCCGAATGTATTTGCAACTACCATAATCGAATGTTTTGTAAAAAAAATGTCTTTAATTTAAAAGTTAACACATATCTCGAAGCTGTATGCTATATTTTGAGAATAAAAACGTATATACGATGCATAGAAACATATGTTAACAATTCAAATATACCAGCTTGGTCATATTTACCTTCTCTAATAATGAGTTCAGTTTCAAATATTAGCATGTATAAAAAAAAAAAATCACGGAGTCGGTTTCACGAAAAACTTTACGACTAAGATGACTTAAGATCAATCTTAGTCGTATTTTTTTTTTGTGAAACCGACTCATGATGTCAACGATCAGTACATTTGTTCAAACATTCTATATTTGAAAACATTAATTTCTGCTCAGGAGTTGGTCTCCTTTGGACATATAGCTCCTTGAAAAAATTGTTACGCCTGGTCTTCATCTTTTGGTTTTAGTGTTCCTGATGAAGGTAGATATAAAAAGTGCACTGGACGCACCCCAGTTATTAAGTGTGATGTTCATTAATCAGTATATAAAACAATCTCTTGTATATAGAAAAATAAGCTTACCAGTTGTCGTAACTATACGAATATTGAAAGTAATTTCAGGTGATTTTCCTATAACGTTTGTAGCTTTACAGGTATATGCTCTAGCTGCACTAGCAGCATCCATATCAACATATAGCACCTTGCTGGTATCCGGCATAGGGGCACCATTATTAAACCATTCCCAAACAGTAGCCGATGGATTAGCTCGTGTGTCACAGCTAAGACGGACAGGATTACCAACAGTTTGTGATATGCTTGTCTGTGTAACATTACTCACTGGTACATCTGTCAATTATAAAAATGTTATGTTTATTAACATGTTCGAAGGGTAGTGTTTATACACTGAATTTGCTCAACATAGGTAAAAAAAGGTATTGACTATTTCATCATAAATAGATTATACTGATGACACAATTTTCAATGATTTCATTTTCTATAGGAAAAAAAAATAACTCACGCTGAACATCAACATCTTCCCATGTCTGTCTGCTCCCCATAGTGTTGGTAGCCCTACACAAAATTAAACCATCATGTTCAATCCAATTGGCATTAGGAATGGCATAGACAGCACCTGTTCGTATAATCATGTCATTTTGATACCAGTTGTATGTTGGGGCAGGATCACCATCAGCCTCACAAGTCAGGCTGAAACTGTGACCTTCTTGAACTACAACACCTGCTGGTACTATTCTTATGATTGATGGTGCAGCTGTAAAAAATAACGTGGATATTATATTTAAATATATTATTAATCATGGTTGAAATCGCAGGGCAGTGATTGCATTGCAATAACATCGTATTTTGTAACTATGTACATTGTTTATATCTCCTGCGCCTCTATATCATAACGTTATTCATAGTGACCAATTAGGATGCAGCATAGGTACCGTTGATAAAACAGCCATCCATGTTCCAGGGAAAGAAAAAATAATGGCAGACTTCATATCTAGGTTACATGAGCCTAATGCGTTTTACCAATTTATGAAATTTTATCTTCCCCAACCACTGTTGGTAAGGCATTTGGAATCCCATATGTCTAACCAAGCCATATCCTATCTTTTATGTAGGCATTCCAAGTGCAGGAGATGTTGTAATTTAGAAGTTATGAATCCTTTTGCAGAAGTTTGCTCATTCCTATGGTCCAAATTAGCAAAGACAATTTGGCTAGATATATTGATATACACAGAGGCTTTGTTATAACTCAGTGGTCAATTATTTAAATATTGTGCGCCTCCTGCATGAAGAGGCTGAGTTGCCTTACCCTATTGATACACATTTTGTCAAAGGTGTTTTAAAAGGGTTCAAAAGAGTTCTAGGGGCTGAAAAAACGCCCAAAATTACCCATAACTCCTAAAATACTGTCTGGCATTTTTACCACTATAGACTTAAATGAAAGTTTGGATATAACTTTTTGGGCAGCTTGCTTAGTAGCCTTTTTTTCCTTTTTCAGGAAATCAAACCTTTTTACACCATCTTTAATGGTATTTAATCCTGATCGGTATTTGAATAGGGCATCGGTTAAGTTTTCGAAGGTGGGGGCAACTTTAACACTCAGGAAAACAAAGACCGTACAAAATAGGGAAAGAGCTCTAGAAGTATCTTTACCTATAATTCCAGGTTCCCCTTCTGTCCCTGTCAAGCTTTAAAACTCTCGTTTGATATATGCCCCTCCTCTCATAATTTGGTGTCAGCCTTTATGTTTTCCTTTAAGTCCAAGTTGGTGCCCCTTACGTATAATGGATTTCTAACCAGATTAAAACAGTCTTTAAAATCTCTTGGATATGACAGTTCTAAGTACTCCGGGCACAGTTTTCGTAGAGGCGGGGCAACATTTGCATTAGAATGTGGCACCCCGTCTGAAATTATTCAGACACAGGGGGATTGGAAGAGTGATGCATACAAAAATTATTCAGATCCTTCTTTCACTCACCGACAGACTGTTATGAATGTCTTTGCAAAAGCACTTCCCAAAATGGTATAAAATGGTCTTCTACTCGTGTAATTTTTCAATACATGTATCATTGTAATCTTATTTTTTATTTTTCTATGTACAAATATATATATATATATACATACTATTCCTCTACCACTACATACAGGTTTGGACTTCTATTTTGGAGAACCACAGTTTTTATTACACATCATTTATCTTTTTTATTCATGCATTACTTACATTTTGTATTTGCTTTAATTCATTTAACATTATGTTCAATTATTGTATAATTGAAAAAATTACATGCATACTTAATAAACTGTGGTAAGTTTTCCCAAACCTGTCTTTGTTTGAAATATAACCAACACTGCCTTATATTCTATTTGGCCGCTGAATCCTTCGGGTGTATCCAAACTTGATTTGGGACGTTATAAGTCATACCATATCAAGCGTTGGCAGGGAGGCTGAAAAGAGGCAGTGTTAAGCACATTGGCAAAGGGGGGAAGGGTGGGTCCCTAATTTCATAACATAAGATTAATGTATTTAAAATTCTTTTTCCAAAGTAATTATAGAAACAAGTTTTTTCTCTGAAAAAGCAAATTTGAAGAAATTGGATAAAGCATGTAATAGTTATTTAAGAAGTGTAACAGGTTTTTACACTTTTTGTTAAGGATATTTATTTTTCATTTAAACATTTCCAAGAAGAAAGTGACAGAAAACCGTTCCTACATCGATACATTTTTCACAATGCAATTAAAACGTCACAAATTATGTATATCCGAATTGCTTTGCCAGATATATTAGGATCGCTCAAAATTAAACATAAATTGAAAGCTGGGAATGCATAATATTTGGATGATTTATATGACCAAAATGACATCAAAAAAAAATAGCCAAAACCATATAAGGCCAACTTTGCCCAAGGAATTCCATAGTGAACTTTAGAAATTATCGACGGAAAGTTATGTTATAAATCATTTTAGTACACACAATAAACAAATTAATTCGTTAAAGCACACACATGACACGAGGAGCAGATACTATTAAGCACACACAATGCTTAACGTACAACAATAAAGCACACATGATTCATAACTTAAACATCACAACACATTATATAATTGCAACAAACTTAGTCAAAATGTAACAAATAAGTCAGAGGCAATGTTAGCATACTGAAACACAATTACTTCGCTATTCTGAAGATGGTCTGAGTTCCTGTAGGCGTTGATTGACTTTTCTGTATTTTGTTCTATCTGTTGGACCTACTCCATAATCCTGGTACTGAATGATAGTCATTTCGTTTGCTGCCTGCTCTTCTTTAAGATAGTCCAGTAGCTTGTATACTATGTTTGGGTGTGGTACTTATATCATCTTCTTCTGTGCCGTCCATCGAGGTAGTTTGTCGTCCTTGGTCCTTCGGTTTGGTAATGGTTCCATAGCTGCCTGTTGCTTTGAAACCAGTATGTTGTGACGTTATCCGTAAACGAAGTGGTATTTGATGTTGAGTTCGAATTTTCAAGGTCTTCAAGTGCATGGAACCAGACGTTGTCTATTTCTGCAGGTGGTACCAGAGGAAGAACTGCTGCCGAGCGTATACGTTGATGAATGTCTGGTTCTCCTTTAGACTATTAGACTATTTACCCCTATTTGTGACATTTTTACCTATTGTTTTTGTTTGTTTTTTTCACACATCGTTGTCAATATAATGAAATTTGATGCGACTGTCATACAAGTGAGAGGTTTAGCTAGCTTTAAAACCAGGTTCAATCCACCATTTTCTACATAAGAAAGTCAGGAATATGACAGTTGTTATCCATTCGTTTGATGTGTTTGTTTTTTTTATTTTGCCATTTGATTGGGGACTTTCCTTTTTGAATTTTCCTCGGAGTTCAGTATTTTTGTGATTTTACTTTATAGTTACGAGACGAATCTTGTTTGCTGCACTTTTCACCAAATACACTGAGTATAAATAAAAAATATATCCTTCAATAGTGATTCCTGGAAAGGATGCTCTGGGAATTCTGAGCAGCAGCTCCGTAGTCAATGACGAAAGTAGTTGGGTTCAGGTTAATCTGACGTTGGGTGCAAGTGTCGTACTTAACTTTCAGCCAATGTCGTCTTGACTTTAGCTGGCCTGGTAAAAACGAAGAATTCAAAATAACTTTATTTTATTACGACTGAAATATCATGGCAACTGACGAATAGCCAAAACACTAGCTTTAAACAGGTCTTTGCTCACATTCTAAGAGATCCCAGGTTTTCTTCGTTTTATCAATGAAAAATCCCGTTACTTAATTTCGTAACTGACCACAACATTTTAATTGGTCACTTATAATTTTGTCTTGTCAACCAAGCTGACACTTTAATCTAAATTATTGATTTTCGTATAGCTATGTTCCGACAATCTATATAATTTTGACAATATGCCTGATTGCCTACACTCTTTCTTTAATCCAAAATATAGCATGTATTATTTATGACTGAATAATTATCAAATATTTGTCAAACATATGTCAAACATGTTTTTTTCTAAATTGTCCACCTTTAAAAATTCATTTTGAGAATAAGAAATAAAATACTTAATAAAAGAAAGTTTGCAAAGAGGAAATATAACACAAGCAGTCTATAGGTTGCAATTCTGTAAATATAGACAATGCAATTTCCCATAGGAACTCCCTTTGCGGCTGAAACTGTGACACTTTTACTATGAAGTTTCGTGAAAAATAATATCCCAGAACGGAAAGTTTATATGCACTACTATTTTATTCAAAGGTTAAAATATAGGGCTGTGCGGCATATTTTCAACATTTATATGCCCTGAACTTCTAAGAGTTTAAACTTGTACTAAAATTCTATACTACCCTTAACTCCATATTTGGACCTCCTAAGAATTAAAATTTAGGCGCTACCATGTTTTTCTATACTGGTTACATTCACAAGTGATGTCTCTATGAGATGAAACACAGAGATCATAAATGGGAACCAGTACGTTAACAAATTAACATATCTATGAATATTATATATCTCCCCAAAAGAGGCGTGGTTTGAGAAACAGCTGTATTTACAAAGTGCAACCTTTAGTAGTGTACAGAATCTTAATATGTAAAGAATTTTTTTAATTGCATGTATCATTTTAAAATTTATTTAAAAACTTTACAAAAAAATGTGTAATTAAAAATTATAATACTGATATTTGTTTTACAATTATATTTTATAAATCAGAAATTTTATATTATGAAGGGCTTTAATCTGATGATTTAAAAAAATCATAGTTTATACAGTATTTCAGATTTCAAATGTTTGGCTTTGAGCGTTCCTGATGAATGTAAATCCAGAAGTGCACTTCGGACGCATGAAATTATTAAACGTGTTGTTTTCAATTTTTTATAAGATCGATATCAAATAATTAGTTTGAACATGCAATAATTAATTCTTGTTTATTAAATAAAACAAACAACAACTACCTTGTTTATTTAAGAACATTTAACATAATAAAATAATGTGGGACAATCAGAACTTTTCATGTGGGACAATCAGAACTCTACAATTTTAAAAAGTGGGACAATCGGGAATAAACCGATGATACCCTCTACTTATAACAATCCAACGACAGCAATATCTACCCACTGCTAGAAAAAAAATAACACTTTATGAATTTGGTGTGTCTTAAGAGTTTTCCTCGATAAATATAAACTGAAGAAAAGTGACGTTAGTAACTTTTACAATAATTCAAAAAAGTGCTTTATATGAACATTAATGAGTGTCGTTTTAAA